GATAGAAGGAAGACAGATGCAAGAATAGATCGGAAAGAGTTGACTTTTCCAAAACTTATTTTATTTAAAAGGGAATGCAATAAACCACTCAACTAGGATAGGAATGAAGAAAAATCAGCCATACTAGATTGGCGATGTTACCATTTCTCTCCGTCTTTCTCCACAAACTGCACTCCTTGTTTACAGCTAGCTTCTTCGCACTCAGTCATTAACACGACCCAAGAACCTCGAAACAGGCAAGAAAGGGGAAGACAGGGGTTCTTTCTAAAGCACTCAAAGAGTAGATATGATGTTTAAAAGTAAAGTGAGTGCACTAAGTGTGATGTGCGTCTGTTTTCTCAGATTTTTCATCTATTGACGTATTTGAAGAACAGTATTACCGAAGAGTTTTGCCGCCTGTCCACTCTAATGACGTGCTTTGTTGCTCGTGTGGCTCACATTCTTCTGAAACCAGGTCAGCCTTATGTGAACATTCATTAAACCGTCTGACTCACGGGCCTTGGATCAATTTCAGTATCTTAGCAACTGCGCACCTACCCCTCCCCTAACTGAACAACACTCAGGTCAAGTTAGGGGTAGTGTGGGGTTAGGGGAGGAGTTAAGTGCACAGTGACTCAGGTACTGATTATTAATCCGGTGCCTTGACTTTCTGGTACGAGTCTGTCTGACTGAGTACTAAATCTGACCACAAGTATCTAGTGAAAGATTTCAGGAAATGTACCCAACGACATGAGTTTTTGCACTTGATTGAAGCTAGTTTTTAAACTATTCCAAAATGACAAACTCAAAAGTTTCATCACTATGTGTTCATCAAAATATATGAAATCTCTTGGTATTTATATTTCCTTAGTTTTTTTGGACATTACACCACTTATGCACCCTCGCCCTTTTTGCTTCCTTTTTTTCTCGACAATGACAATGAGCAACACTTCCGAAGAAAGTCGAGTATTTAACATCCTTGACTTATATTTTAAAAAAAAAAAGTCTCGAATTTACCCGGTAATGTTGATTTTAAGCTTCTCTAGCGCTAAAAAAATGACTCGCTTATTTTCTTTTACTTTTATTTCACAGAGCATCCCTTCTACATTATGATGAACAGCTTTTTACTCCAGAGACCTGCTTTGGATCTCAGGGATTTACCGTTGTTTTACAACATGTTCAACAGCAGTACCATGCAGGTACGAACACGTTTTAACGATAACAG